TTTAAACTTAACTGGATTATCAGTATCATGTGTGAAGGCAAATTTCAGCCCTTAGATGACAGAGTGGCTATATCTTGGACACCAAAAAAAGAACCTTTGGCTAGTAATAGATTCACCGAATGTATATATATTGGTGTTGGTTTTCTAACTACAGAACTGAATAACCATTTTATTTACAAAATACTGAATAATTTACTGGCTCATCAGTATATGTCATGAGTATAAGACAATTCCACTGATTTTTTTATTTTTAAGTAACAGTCAAGCAGATATTAGTCATTGTACTATAGGTTGTACTGTGAAAAACATCTGCCCTTAGACTGGAACTGCTATTAGTGCTCATTCTGTATCTGTATAAGAATATTTGCACATGTATTAAAACAATTTATTCAAAAGTACTGATATACATATTGCTGTCAAAGATATTTTTAAGATTATGTTTTTTAATTATTTTAGTATTTTTTAATTATTTTAGGGTTTTAGAAATGTAGGCAGTATGTATATGTGTGTCTGATCTACATGATCAATCACAAATTGGAAAATATTATTTTGAACTTATAAGCATTTCTCAGGGGACATAACAGTTATCAGATATTACAGCTCTTCTGATAATACAAAAATATTAAACTGCCATGGTTAAAGAAGTGCAATTTTTTCACCTAAACAAACGGAAGCTGGCATTTCTTGTATGAAGCAATTGTAAACGTTATACGATTCAGAAACTACAGTAAGCATGTGTAATTGCCTCTTAAGTCACTGCTTGTTTATTTCTGCATCATCTGGGCACTACATCTTTTTATCTGTACACTGGAGTGGGCTAATTTTGACATATTTTAGAGTTGGCTGCCACCTGCTGGGAGTCTGACCTTGTTTTGTCTTTAAAGCAGTTTGGAGGAGCTAGAGGAGGTTGGGTTTGTGCTGAAAGTTTATTAAAATGGATAATGCAAACTGTGAGTGCCTAAACGTAAGAATTTAGGCATAACTGATTTGAAAACAGAAAATACACATCCCTGCCTGGTGAAATGCATTTAAATTAAAGGAAAAGGCATCCTCTCGGCTGCCTGTCATTCATGGGGATGTTATTCCCTACATCAGAACAAAAATAACAAAAAATGTTGAATTGACTGAATAACTTTCCCCTAAGGCACTGCAAAACAGCTCAAGTCTCCTTTCCTTTTACCAGCGTGAATAAACTATACATAAAATCATCTATTATTCAATACAATGTAACATTTACAAAAGCCCTGCAGTAAAATGACACTGCAAGAACCTCACCCAAGAGAGTCTGACAGCAGTTAATGAAGACAGGCTAAGCCATGTATTATAAAGACCTACAGCTTTTTGGACAGTGATATCCAAAGCACCAGCAAAACTCACGTGCTTGGCCCCTTGCAGAGTCATGACCATAATCACAGAGAAGAATATTTTTTTAACTGTTTAAAACCAATTGCCAAACATCTCTGCACTATGCAATGGTAATGTGAGATCCAAAATATCCAACTATGATGAGATCTCTTTTCCACTCTGCTGTACAGTAAGAGGAGCACAAATCTTAAACTATTTCCAAAGCTAGATAATCCTAACCCAGTTATCCCAGGCTGCCAGCTCTGTCCCAGCATTGGCTGCTTCCAGTCTTCACTGCCAGGAAAGGTTCACTTTATGTATCAAAGTTAGTTGCAGTAGTCAAATGTCTTACTCAGCTTGTTTAAGTAACCCTTCACAGGATGACATAGCACCATCCTCAAGAGAAAGGTGAAAATCTTGAACTGTAGTCTTGGATTAACCCCAGGGCATAAGGAAAGCTCTTTTTATGTGAAGATAGCCCTCAAAACTCAAATAAATCTCATATGAAGTAATTAACTATCTGCTCGGTGAAGAGAAAGGCAGAACTTGAGAACTTTCTGTTGCTTAATCAAAACTCATCCAGATCACAAAGTCTGAAAGTTCTTCATACTCTTAAAAAGAAGTAAAAATCTGGTTTCCAAGGGCCCAGGTTATCTAAACTACATTTCCAAGTGTACGGCTTCACTCCAGCAGCTGCCTGGAGACACTGTAGGGGAAGATCTGTCTCTATAAGAGTCTCATCTAATTCATCTTTTCTACAGTGTAGTGGGTTGACTTTGGCAGGATGTCAGGTACTCATTGAGCCACTCCACTCCTCAGCTAGACATGAGGAGAAAAAAAGCGATTAAAAGCTTGGGGATCAAGATAAGGACAGGGAAATTATTCAGCAAATACCATCACAGACAAAACAGGCCCTAGTTGGAGAACTTGATTTCTTACCTACCAACTCATAGTAGTTTAATAAGAAAATAAAAACTAAATCTTAAAACATCTTTCTCCCTTCCTCTCTTCTTCTCAGAATCAACTTCAATCCTTATTTTCTCTGCCTCCTGCCCCTCTATCCACCTTCATCAGCACAGGGGAATTGGGAGTGGGGGCTGCAGTCAGTTCATCAAAGGTTGTCTGCACAGCTTCTTCCTCCTCAGAGCTAGGACTGCTTGAATGGGATCCTTCAGTCATCCATGAACATCTCTAATGTGAATCCTTCCCAGAACTATCTCTGCTCTGGCACCTGAAGTATCTCCTCCCAGTCCTTCTGCTCAGACATTGGATGTCCTGACCATTTTTCCCTGCCTTCTTAAATACCTTATCCCAGAGACAATACTGCTGTCACTGTTGGGCACAGCCTTGGCCAGTGGTGGGTCTGCCTTGGAGCTGGCTGGCATTGGCTCTGTCAGACATGAGGAAGCTTCTGGCAGGTTTTTCCAGAAATCAACCCCGTAGCCTCCCTGCCACTAAAACTTTGCCATGCACAGCCAGTACACACAATCTGCCTGGGCAGAGCAATATGCCCAAAAGGTATGTTTGGCTACCTAGAGGAACTCTTCAGTTTAGAATTGTTTTGCATCAGATTTAGTATACACAGCATACTAAAATAATGCTGATAGTTAAAACATAACGAGTAATTATTGTGTGACTATTATATATCTCCTTTACTAAATTTACATGTAGAGTGAGAATATATTTCTCTATTTTTAGAAGCCGAAGTTATCTGATTGTGATTGACTTAAAAGACAGATGAGACTTGATGTTCTCAAGCATTATTTTGGCTTATGTGTATCAAGGTTCCATAAAATTCTGATGTCTTGAATTACCAGGAACTTTGACACAACTTCTTAGAACCATTAAGAGATATTCTGTATTTGTGCCAGTGAAATTTAGGCAATGATTCTAGCTAACTGATTTTGTGTCTAAGCTTCATATCTCCAGTACAGTCCATGACTACATAGTGTTTTCTGATTATGGAAACAAATGCAACAACTCTATTTAAATAGGTTAGTCTAATTAGTCTTATTTACATTAAAAAAAAAAAAAAGTAAAAAAAACTTAAAATTTGTTACGATACTGTTAAACTACAACAGTTCGGTTCAGAATTAAGGAAAGTGAACATTAGTCAGCTCATGTTGGAGCAAAACCTAGAGTTGAACACACTAATTGCCCTTCCTACTGTTCAGTTCAAATCTAACAAGTCTCAAGCTGTTAGTACATACTTTGTGAACAGATGAACACATCATTCTGTGTCCTACCCCACGAGCCAACAGAGTGTATTATCATGTATAACTGAGGAGGGATGCTGTGAGTGTCCCTGGCATGTCTTGCAGCTGATACTGCAGGCAGTGACCAGGCAGAAATCTCCTCACCGGCACTGCACTGCTGTGGTCTGGACAGAGAGCAGAAGAGCTGTCTTGTCAGGATGTGGGCTGTGAAGCAAAGCTGTCCTGCAGGAAAAGAAAACAAGAACAAAAACAAAACACCTATTCCTGCACTGCACAATGCAGATACACCAGGTTAGTGAGAGCCCATGTCTTCCCCACCTTGTTAAGGGAAATAGGACATGCATATAAATATACTTTTGCTTCTTTGTAGTTTCAGTTCTTCCTGTCCTTCTTTTCACTTTTATCCTCTTACTCCATCTATCTTCTATCCCAAAGTTCACTTCAGACACAGTAGTCCTGGGAGCAAGGTGAATATTCTTGACTTCAGTCATCAGTCTTTGCAGTATGTTACTACGACTACCCTTCCAAGCGTGCTATAACACTGCACCAGCTCCCTTCAGCAGCCTTCCACTGCAGCCTTTGTCATGTGTCCTGAGATACATTTTTATCTGCTATACAAAGACGGCATACATTAACTATGTCTCCCTAGTGCAACTTCACATAACACTTTTTTATTTTTCTGCCAAGAAATTCTTACCAAAAAAAAAAAAAAAGGAGAAAGAAAAAGAAAAAAAGAAAAAAGGTAGCAGTAAGAGTTGTCAGTTTATTAGTTGTTATAGCTTTGTTTTGCACTGAGAGGGTATAGATACAGCTTTAGTCCAAAAAGAGATAATTTATCATCACATTTGAATTATCATCACAATTGAATTTACAATTGCAATATGTTTAAGCAAGTGTCCTCTCTTGCATCCTGATTTTTTTGTTTTCTTTCTGTTAAATATGTCTGTGTTAAAATTTATGAGGAATTCTTAATCTATAAGATTTTCTGGCTTTTTAAAACTAAATTTTTATTCATATGTAAAATAGCACCAACAGTATCATTAGAACTGCCACTAATTATCTTCTTCACTCTGTAGGTAATTTACGTGTTAAATTTATATTAGAAAGACTCTTTTTTTCAATATTTTTTGCAGATAGTATTTTCCATACTAGAGGCATATCAACATTTTAGTCTAGAGCAGAAATTCCCACACTAGTTTCTGACAGCCCAGCAGCAGTTTCACAAGAGTAACTCCTAAGATAGTCTACCTTTCAGTCTATTATTAAAATAGCATCATACTCTAATTATTTTTGAAAGCCTGCTACAGAGACACATGCCTTCTGAGTTGTGATGGTACTCACATCCAGGACATAATAGTGCTTGCTAAAAATGAAAACAGAAATCTCAGATTGTAAACAAGCTTTAATTCAATTAATTTCTTAAATTTTTTATATTATTTCTTTCCTTTTAAATTTTAAGAAACATTACCTGAAATTATCACAGATCTCTTCCAGTGTGATTTTGTGGCTCTTCTCTGCTTACCTTTTGTGTGCACAGCAAATTCTCTTGTAGTCAGTCAGCAAACCTGTCTGAGAAATTAGGATATTTTTAGTAGAAGTAGGCAGAAGGTAATTGATTATTTTCACCTCTGCAGTCTTTGATTAAAGACAATGTGCTTAGGGGGTAAAGTCAACAATCATTCCTAAACATATACAAGAATTTAATTGTAGCAATTAATTTATCTATACAACTCAGTGTACTTTTAAAAAGCTTCTTGACTGAGAATGAATGCCTCATCAGTCTTAAATATAACAGCCTGAAAGAACAAGTGAAGCTAGTAGAATAACAAACAGTACTGCAGAAACCTCAGGCACTTTCAGGAAACAAAAAGACATTTCCAACTCTGTGCAGAGCAAAATTATGAAGAATTTGAGAAATAAAGGCTGTAGAGGAAACATAAATTGATAGAGCCACAAAAATAAAGTACATCCTTGTACACATTGCCACGTAAAAAAATTGAAAAGAGAAAACTTTAGATAACAGAATTACAAAGACAATTTTGTAGGAGAGTTTGAAGAATTCAGTAGTTATAAATCCCATTTTTATAAATGTCATGCTCCCCATCAGTTTATCTGTTCACTACAAACAAGAATTTCTGTCAGAATGTGAGTCAAAGCAGCAGGTAATGAAAAACAAACATCCAGAGAAAGGCAGTCAAGACAGATGAGCAACAAAGACAGATAAACAGCTTCAGAAGAATCAATGTAAAAATGGCTGTGCCATTAATTGGGCAGGGCAGATAAGCCTTTTTTCTCTCCAAGCTTGAAAGGTTTACTCTTCCCAAAGATGACAGCCTAAATGATGAAGGTAAGCAAAGTTAAAATATACTATTCTCAGGAAACAGGAAAAGTGATCAGGTTATATATTATTGCCAGGTGTCCCCAAGTGGAAATATTGCATAGATAAAATATTCTCAGCAAAAATGTGTATGTTTTACCAGTGGATGTGGTACAAAAGTGAGGTATTGAGCAGGCAGAGCTCTTGGAAAGATTCTTCTGGATGAACAGGGAGCTGAAAAGACTATCTTGACAGGTTTCTGCCTATCTGAAAGAGGTCTTTCCTGAGTGATTTTTAATCAGCTCAGTGATAAAAATACTCTCTCACAAACAACTCCAATTCAGCAAGGTTTACTTCACACCTTACTGCACACTCTTCTTTTTCCTCACAGGAAGAAGAGAGAATTATGGAGAACAAAAAGACAATGGACATGAGCTAAAAATTACATAATTAGTGTTTTACTACCTAGTTTTATGCTTCCTCCAACTCCTCAATGCTACCAAACTCCTTGATAATCACTTTTAGTCAAGTGTTACAGGTAATATCCATTACATTAGTCAGAAAACTACATTTCCTGACATAATCAGAAATGCAGTGATATAGAGCCAATATATTAGGGACCATAACTTAGAAGTCAATCACATTTGTGATGTGGTCATTTTTATCCTTTACGGTTGTATGAAGTAGTATGCATTTCTGAGAGAGACAATAGCATTCAAGTTCATCTAGGAGAGAATTCCAGGATTCTTCAGGGTTTTTTCAAAAATTAAATCTAGTACCATAGAATCATAAAATCATTAAGGTTGCAAAAGACCTCCAACATCAACCAACTTTTGACCAAACACCACTGTGTCAACTAAACCTCAGCACTAAGTGCCACATCCAGCATTTCTTGAATACTTCCAGGCATGCTGACTCAACCACATTCCTGGGCAGCCCATTTCATTGCCTGACCACTTTTTCAATGAAGAAATTCTTCCTGATATCCAACCTGAAACTCCTCTAGTATAGCTTGAGGCCATTTCCTCTTGTCCTGTCGCTTGTTACCTGCAAGTAAAGGCCAACTCCCACCTGGTTACAACCTATTTCATGTTGTTGTAGAGAGTGATAAGGTCACCCCTGAGTCTCCTTTTCTCCAGGCTAAACAAAAAGAGATAAGAAGACCGTCCAACATTGTTTTACTTTATTTTCCCCCTTTCCATATATACGAGTTTCAGCAAAGTGAAGTGCAGAATATTTTCTTAATTTTTTTTTTTGTAAGAAAGAGAATGCTTGAGTGATTTTAGTTTGCATTGCTGTAGATATTAATGTATTTGCAGTTTTCTTTTTCTTTCTATTGATATAGGACTTGTTAATATTTATAAATCTGTGGTAAACATCCAGAAAACTCAGGATTCTCTGAAGAGAAAGAGAAAAAGAAGTTTTCTGCCAGAGACAGAACTGCTGCTGCAAACAACTCATTGGCATTATTTCCATTATGTTCCTGAAGAACAGCCAGTCCCAAGATGAATCCTATCACCTGGTCCAAATGACGCAGTTCCAGGCTGAACAGATTACTTCATTTTTCCTTAAAACAATGTAGAAATTCAAAATCTTGAATGTACAGTCTAGACTTGAATAATAATTCTATGAATAACTCAGTTCTATTTTTTTTGTCCTATAGTCTTTCCTAGTAAAATAAAAAGATTAATAGATTGAAGTTTTCAATATTTTTTTTTGTCATCAAAGTTTAAATATAGACCTAATGGCCCCTGTGATTGCAGGCTACATTTGCTGAAACAGTATGTCAGAAGTTGATAAATGTGCTTGGCAAGAACAAGGAAGGTCTCCCTAGTGCAGAAATTCACTTTCACATGAAGCTGGACAGCTAACACTGTTGATGGTGGAGCTCAGAAAAATAGTGGTGATGTAGAGGAGGTACATTGACCTGTGTCATTGAGGAGAAGTGTTACAGCTCTGAATGTATCATTGAAGAGAATTAAGAGATTACAGGCTCGTATAATTCAGATGGGGTGCAGCAGTTTTATCTGGTTTTGCTATACACAGCAGAAGGAAAGATGCTGCAGTTAGGAAACAAAACAAGAGTCAATGCAAAAAATAGCAGTTTTATTTGTGACACTTCATATGGGTTAATGAATGTTGATGAATGACAGAACAAATTAAATGTTTTCCATTATTTCACTGTACCTACAGGCAGTTGCCTAGGGCTTTTATTTTATTTGCTGTACTGGAGTCCTTTGGTTGTATATAAAACATGAGACTAAAGCTCATACTGAGGAATTTTCATTAATTACCAAATAATGAAATCGTTAGCCAAGGCTAAAAAAAATATAAACTAATTAGCTTGGCTGGCTACCAAAACTTCATATAGCTATTGTATTAATAATGTTATACTGAAATTCAGCAATGAATAGATAAAATATACAAAAATGAGCAAAAAAGAATGACCATTCTGTCTTATATCAAGAAAGATGTAGGTGCACCATTTATTAAATTGCCAATGAGAAAACCAACCCTGAAGAGATGTTTGTCTTTTTTTGGGAGTGAGAATAGATATCTGATCTAATGGGCTTAGAACCAGAAAATAGCAAAAAACACAAACAAAGTAGAGTGAAAGAAAAGAGAACAATTCCTTAGAATAGGGCAAAACAAAATAACTATATATTTATGTTTATATTTGTATACAAAATTCTGAAGTATAAAACAGGTTGTAAAGAAGTTGTTATCCCTTAACCAGAGCAAAGACAACAAGCGTCAACACAGCAACATGTTTCATGTAAATAATCTGCAATTAGGAATTTTAAGGTACTTTTAAAAATGTGACTTTATTCTTGTGAAAATTTTCATGATGTGAAATGTTTTTCATATATTTTTTATATATTATTTAATAACTTTTTTATTATTTGCTAGATTGGGTTTTTAAATCATGCTTGAATTTTTGTAATAAAAATCTATAGATTACAAACTAGTCTCTTTTTTTTTTTTTTTTTTTTTTTTTTAAAACAGTTAATATTACAACACTGGGGATTTCCCCACCACCTTATATTCTGAAACTTCCTGGTTTAAGATTCTGTAATCATAATGTGAAAATGCTGCAAATATATTCTTAGCACAAAATTTTCCTCTATGCAGGTTAAAGCAACGAGAATTTGTCATAAAGCTTTGGGAAAGGAGGATGCGTTCCTGACCTTGGAGGAGTTAGCCAGACCACAAAACAAATAACTAAGGATATCCTTGGACATGGAGAGCTGCCAGGTCCAATTAAGATTGGTCCCAGCCGTAAGTAGTCACTAATAAAATGATCTGGGAGTAAGCAAAGCTCTGGGACCCCTTAGAGGATAGGAATGCTGAGAAAGTTGAGAGTGTTTTATATTTATGTCTGTTGCTGTTATTAAGAATAGACTTACAGTAGATTATAGGAATGGCAACAGCATTTGTGCTAACAATAAAGTTTTTTAGAGGGGGATTTCTGAGCAGAGGTACTGCCTGGATATAGTTCAGGGAAACTCTAAGGCCCATGGGGGATGCATTTTGCCTGAAAGAACAGCTCCGAGTTTAAATACAAATATGGATTTTTCCTGTATTAAATACTGGGAAAATTATATAAAGTTCTTTTTGAGGGCTCTGAGGAGTGTGAAATGGGGTTATCAAACTATGAAATCCAAGGCTGAATAGCTAGTGTGAAACTCTGAAGTTTCCACATGTGAAAAAAACACAGTCTCATGAGTCAGCTATGGCTCAATTTGCTTCAAATGAGGAAAGCTACCTGCTGTAGGAAGTGCTTGGCTTTTTGGTGCACAGATTCGGGGAGATACACCTTATGGGGAGTTTCTTTCTGCAAATCTAGATTATTAAGTGTTAAAAGTATAACTCGTGTATTGGCTTCCTTAATATTATGAGAATTATACTGAACTCTGCCCAAAGACTCACTCTATAAATGTGCTGGTGATGAAATAATTAATAAATAACAAGCTGTGATCTTGTGCCTTCAGAGAAGTTTGCTTGTTTCAGTATATTTTCCATACTTTAAGCAATAAAACTAGAACTTCTGCTCTGTAGATGCTTCCTTTCATGACACCCCATAGCTTCAATATTTCTAAGCAATGCTAAGACAAGGTCAAACTACATCTGGACTCCTGTCTTTACGGGTAAGGTAGCAACCACCTGATTCCACTGCCTGACAAAAATTTTGGAATGCACACTTTTATTCCTGAAAATTAGTGAAATTATCAACTAGAAAAGAATTTGAACG